TGATAGCTCCATTGATCTCTCAGATGCCGACCATGGCAATATGGTGACTGTCAACTTTTGGGTGTGCTTAAAGTGGCACAAAAGCATGTTCGACCACATACCTCCATGGACACCAGCTACATCACCTCTTTAAGGATGAGTTCTTCCCATGCCATATTTGGATGAGGATACTTCCCTTCATAAGCCAAACAAAAAACAAACACATTATTTTCAGAAGTGTCAAATGCCCTAGTTCAATCACATATGCATCCTGACTTTCTTTTTTTTTTTTTAATTTCAAGACTCCAATCCATTAAGCATACTAAGTTAAAAAAAAACGTTCAATTTTTTCTAAATTTCCTTGCAAGTAAAAAAAATGATCAAACTCCAAGAAAACTAAGCCCGAGAGCATTCATTCAGAAATATAAAAACATAGCTTTCCAGAAAAAAAAAAGGGACATTTACATTAAAGAAAATAAAATAGAAATACAGATCGCTAACCAAAACCTCTTGGCGAAGTCATAAGATCCAAAAGCCGGCGCCGCTGCCATTGTTATACGAGGATTCATCCCAGGCGCTTCCATTCTCCTAGAATTCGCTGAAGATGACGGCTAGGACACGCTCGATCTAGTGGCCAACCCGTCCAATCGGCCCCAGGCGATCCCCGCCGGTTCTCAGACAGAAATCTCCGGTAGCGGCGCAAATACAGTAGTAGTCGGTGGCCGCGCACGTCTTGAGAAATCCGGCGCCGGCGTCCACCCGCGACATGAGTCCCGTAATCCGCAATCAAAAGCATCGCAATCAGAAAAGGCCAGAACTTTCAAGAAACGCTGATCATGGTTGCATTTGAGCATCTCGATTTAATGCAAGAAAATTTAAGTAAAATTAATTTCATATTTTTATTAGAAATTTGAATGGATGATCATTTTGGTAAATTGCAATTACTATGACATTTTACTCGGGCATTTTTGGTGGATGAAAATAGAGAAGATGAGAACATGGAAGTGATTATAGAATTAAGTGAAAAGGTTATCATCATCATTTTCTTATGATAATAAAATATATCCTTCACAAAATTTGGTTGTTGTGGATGATCAAAATGTTAGATTTTCTTATTTTTCAATCGTGTTGTGCATGTGGCATCCAGAAGAGGTGGTTTGATTGTTTTTTTTCTATTTAAAAACTATTATCCTATCATACAGTTGGACTCATTCGAAAGAAAATTTTGATCTTTAAAGTTTTTAAAATCATGCATTCCACTAATCTAATTTTGGTTCTACGAGAAGACAAGTCTGAATTCTGAAGGACCTTTTCTTCTACCAGCCGCGTCTACCACCCATTCAATTTCGAAACAAGAACCGGTCTCTTCAGCGTTGATTGACTGCACGCCACGGCAAAATTGGGAAGATTCAACAAGCTGTTGCCTGCATTTTCAATAGAATGCGTAGTTTCCACTTTCCACTACTGATGACAAGGACATTTTGTTTTTCATGAATAATAAAAATAAGAGAATAATTGACAAATCATTATAAAGAGCTTTTTGGGATCATTTCATATTTCCTTATGTGATTTTTCATCAAAAAAATGTTATGATCTGACACGAATCTCAAAACAATTTTGAATTGTAAACTTTTAAAATTAAATTCAGTACCATCCATACTCCCATATCAGCAAACTTATAGTTGAGCTGAACGTCTCGAAAAAATGAACCCAACGACACCATGTTCGATTCAGTACGGGCTCAAATGGGTGCAAATCGAGGGCCTGAAGCACATTTGGAAGGTACAAAGCATAAATTGGATGACCAAATGGCATCCAAATGTGACATGCTTATAATTGAATCTAGCAGCTCGATGAGACGAATCCAACGAGCTCAAAATTACTGAATTTTAATATCAGTTAAACACTCAAATACTCGATAAACGGTCATTGATCAAGGGATTTGATATCGGTCATCCATTCGAAACACTCCCAACATGTCCTTGATATTTCCCCTACTTACTGTCATGCAATTCACAGAAATTATAAATAGACCCCTCATTTTTCATTAAAGGAGATCTAAGTAAGGAAGAGAAGGAAAAGAGAAAATGAAGAAAAATCAAATAATTCTCTTCCCACCAGACTCCTGTTCGACCACCTTGCGAATGCTGACCGTCGCCGGACTTTAACTCGACTTCTACCCTGCCACAAATTATCACCGGATTTACGCTCAACCACCGATTATCATTAGGCTTCTACCCGGCCACCAACTGACGTCAGATTTACAACTGAACACTGACCGTCGTCAAACTTCCATTTGGCCCATGTTTGTCACCAAATTTCTACCTGACAACTGAGTATTGTAATCCGATCTTCTTCAAGTTCAAGGACGAATCAATTTTTGTAATATATTCAACACTATTGGATTCATTTCAATTGAGCGTGACCCCATGATTTTTTTATTTTGCAGCGTTTCCACATTAAAAAATCTATGGCATTTTTCTAGTGTTTATATTCTTTCTATTTGTGTGCTGTATATTTGTGCAACTCTAAGATGAAAAATATTCTCACTCTACTGCTGCGTATATTCTATCCCACAACAATGTGAAATATATTTTCATTTTTCAAGTCAATTTAGTCTTTTATAGAACAGTAATAATTTAATATCTTATATAATTGCATATTGCTAGTAAATTTATTTTGTTATTATTTAGTATTTTATGTCAAAATCATAATATGTTTAAATTTTAAAATATAATATTTATATTTTATCTTAAAAAATTTAAAGTATTTATTATCTGCTTTAATTTTAAGTAAAAATAAATTGATCAAAACAAATTTAATATTTTTAAAATGATTCTGACTCAAAACGAATCAGCAATTTTTTTCCCCACTGATAATGAGCCTAAGCACTAATGTTGGTATGGCCATAGTTAAGATGTGGGTTGCCTGTTAGGTCGATCGGAATTTACTAGCTGCAAAATTGAAGAGTTTTTCGTCACAAAATAATAATAATAATAATAATAATAATAATGAGCCTAACAAGCTTTTCCTGTCAAAGTCAACTTGCCGGCCGGGTATCAAGTTTTCCACGGCGGAGACCACGTTTTGGTAAGAATAATATAAATCTATAATTTAAAATCATTTGATTTTTTCTTCTATTTTAAAACTATTATTATCCTATCATACAGTTGGACTCATTCGAAAGAAATTTTTGAATTTATCAAATGATCTTTAAAGTTTTTAAAATCATGCATTCCACTAATCTAATATTGGTTCTACGAGAAGACGAGTATAAATTCTGAAGGACCTCTTCTTCTAGCAGCCGCGTCGACCCATTCAATTTTGAAACAAGAAGCTGTCTCTTCAGCTTGATTGATTGCATGCCACGGCAAAATAGGGAAGATTTATTTACCCAAAAAAAAAAAACCCAAAAAAAAACAAGCTGTTGCCAGCATTTTCAATAGAATGCGTAGTTTCTACTTTCCACTACTGATGACAAGGACATTTTTTTTTTCATGAATAATAAAAATAAGAGAATAATTGACAAATCATTATAAAGAGCTTTTTGGAAGAGTTTTTTGTCACAAAATAATAATAATAATAATAATGAGCCTAACAAGCCTTTCCTGTCAAAGTCAACTTGCCGGCCGGGTATCAAGTTTTCCACGGCGGAGACCACGTTTTGGTAAGAATAATATAAATCTATAATACGCTTCTTCTAGAAAAATACTTTTCAAAAAAATATGTTTTTTTAAATAAAATCACACACAAAAAAAAAAACTTTACATTAATCTATTTGAATGTAAATTTATTTGGAAGAGTAAATATTCTTCAAACAGTAAGACAATGCACTTATTTTTTTGCAGTGTTTCTGAGGGAGAACATCTTAGGTAGGGGTGTCAATTTTTGACACGTCCCAAAATCTGACCCGAAAAAATCCGGATTCAGGTCAACCCGAACCCAAAATGGGTCGGGTTCGTGTTCAACAAATCAACCCGTTTTAAAAATCGGGTCGGGTTTGGGTTGACCTAGCAACCCGAAATTGAACCGAAAGTGACACGAAAACTCAAATTTGACTCGAAAACCCGAGATTGACCCGTTTTTTACCCAAAAATCAAAGATTGACCCTATTTTTGACCCGTAAACAAGCAATTTTGGGTAAACCCCGTGTCATTCATGTCGGGTCGGGTTCGGGTCCGAAAACCTGAACAGTTTTTTAAAACGGGTCGGGTTTGGGTTGACCCGAATAGTTCCGAGTTCGACCTGAACCCGACCCGTTGACCCGAATTGACACCCCTAATCTTAGGTAAAATATTTCTTAAGCATAACTGCTTTAGTTTATTAGCTATTTTTTGAACCATCTAGATTTTTCTAGGGTTTTCTACTTGATTAGTATAATAGAATGGTTGTAAGAAGATATAAATGAATGATATTTTTGGATTTGAAACAATATGTTCACTATTTTTGGATGTTTGAGCTGTTTAGCTCTTAGATCTATCTTCTTTCGATAATCTCCCTACATCATAATGGTATTAGAGCCACTATAACCCTTGATGCTGATTAGGATTTGGATGCTTGGGGAAGATCTTGGATGAAGGAAGATATACAACCCTTGAAAATGAGCAGAATTTTGAAGCTTTTGTGAGCAGCGCAAGAGTGCATCACAAAGGCGATATCCATTAGCCGGCAACCATACAGGCACATTATTTAAACCTGCTTGATTACTTATTAGCAAAGTAGATGTATTAGACACAACCTATATTAAAAAAAGATAGAAGTAGACCTAAAAAGATTTGGTAAAAAAATATTTGAAATTATATTTTTTATTATATTTAAATTAAAATTGGACTTTTAATAGGATATTAATAGAGAAAATTTTATTTGACCTCATGTATTCGGAGTTAGAATTTCTCTTAATGAAGGTTTGTTGTGTTTGTTGTAAATCTAATATTTTTTAAAGATTTTCATTATATATAATTCATTCATGTTTATTAAGGCACATTTTTTGAAAAATAAATAAATAAATAAACCCATCACACGGATTTGGTCGTTAGGCCATCGAGCATGGAGGCCTAGACCAGGTGATTGGTTCCATCGCCGGCTTCTTCCACTATTCGTCTTTGATCTTCATAAATACCACTTGCCACTTTATCGGAGAACACGCAGAGGGAGAGAGAGAGAGAGAGATGGCAAAGATGGGAAAAGGAATATTGGAGTTGAACCTCTTCGATGCCAAGGGACTCAAAGACACCGATTTCTTGGGTGAGTGTAGATTTCCCCAACTTATTTTTGTTTTTGAGGAAACCCTAGCCTTTTATCTCCAAACTATGAGTTTTGGTTGTGATTTTTCCTTTTTTTGCCCCAAAATTTTCTAATAAATATTTTAATTTGTCTTGAATGGGTGCAGGGAAAATTGATCCTTATGTGGTGATGCAGTATAGGAATCAAGAACGCAAGAGTAGCGTCGCCCGAGGTTTTTGTTCTGAAATTTCTAAATCTTTGTTTAGCAAGCTCATTTGTTTCTCTTTTCTGGTAATTTTTTTAATAAAATTTACAAGGGGATATTAGATTTGTTTTAAACACAAACAATTTAAACTGAATCCCTGAGAAATAAATACGATCAAATCGATCATATTTACTGGGCAATAATTTGTGAAGGAGCAAGAACTATGAAGCTATCAACTTTACTTAAAACCAAACAAATTGATTGCATTTCTTCCTTTGTAACTCCCCAAATTTCGGTAGACACATTTAGAGTATATAATTGGCAGCAATAGATTGATAAATGAAGGCTTAATGCGAGCGTAAACAGTGTTGAAGATTGAAAGCTGATGGAAAAATGGCTGTTTAGGACTGTGGCTTTTTTTTAGGACTGTGGCTTATTCATCTATCACAACTGGCCTAAATTTACTTAATGACAAAATAGTTTCTGATCGTGCAGAGGAAATTATGTTGTGATTCGTGAATATATTGCAATCAAAATTTTCTCCTAATTGATTCTGATTCAAACAAGATCAAGTGGTATCAAGAGCTTCTTTTTTTGGGTCTAAAATGTATGTTTTGTTTTGAATATTGAACCTTTGCACAAAAAACGATGCCTTACCATAAGATTAGCTTATTCATGGCATAGGGCCTATTTTCTTTTATAAAAGTTTGATATAAAACTAATATATTACCTGCACAATAATTCTCTTGTGCTTGGCTTTAATGGAGCAATGAAGTAATTTTAATTTACTTCTTAGTTTATTTTCTTAGCATATCTACCATGCCAAAAGATATTGGTCACTCGCTATAGAAGTTGATGCTTTAGCTTATGAAGCTTCTGTGCAATGGGCTTGGCAAAAAGCGATAAAGCAAAAGACTGATAAAATCTTATTACCTAAAGTGTAAGACAAGTATGCCTCTACAAATCATACAAATTCCATAAAGTATGCAGATGAAACCTAAACAAATATGTCATTCAATTATTTATTTGAATTCGTTTATACTCACCCAAAAGGCAAGATTAATAAATTACCGCCTGTAGGTGGCCTCAGTAGGTTCCGCTGCCAAGCGTTCCCTTTAGAGTGGCGGCGGTAAATACCCTCATTCCAAAATAAAAAATAAAAATGACCAATGATCTTGCTTAGGTTGAGTGAAATTTTGATAATTTTTGCTACATCTCCATCTCTGGTGCCCATATGTCATACACACATTCAAAAATATAGAATCTTGAGTAGTAGAAAAGAAGCGCCTATACCTAACAATTTGAGTGAAATATCCAAAACTATAGTTATTGTTTTTCTATCTTTCCACACATATCTAAAGACTGGAAATCATTCTTTAAGAGATGAACTTGGCCGTTCAGTTTTCATTACATTTCACTTTTAGCCCTCCCTTAGAACTTTGGATTCTCTTAGAAAAAATCAAACATAACTTAGTTATTACTTAAACAAGCTTATTTTTTATTGACAGCAGGACAAGGCAGCAACCCCAAATGGAATGAGACGTTCAAGTTCTTAGTGCAGTATCCAGGCACGGCAGGCATCCCTCACAAGATCGTCCTCAAAGTAATGGACAAGGACACCTTCTCTGCTGATGATTTCCTTGGTGAAGCAACGTAAGTACTAAAATGGCTTCATTTGATAATATTATGGTATTTTATGGTCACATGAAATAAAATCATCATTTTTTTTACATAATAGATGAGTTTTTTCATCATTATTTCCCTGCGCTTATGAAGTAACAGAAGATACATGGACCGGATAAGAATTTCTAAAGCTTATTTATCAAACAAATGAAAAGAGTATTTTGAAGAAAAGAGAAAAGTCTTATCAATATCAAAGTTTAAGGCCTTGTTTGGTTTGGAGAAATTGCAACAAAGGAGATGAAAAGGAAATTTTAATGAAAATGATAAGGAAAGTGAATCAAAATTTGTTTCACCTCTCACTTATTTGGTTGAGTAGAAATCGAAGGGGAAAATATTTTTCATTTCTTGTTTGGTTGAGCAGAAATTGAGTTTTCATTTTAAAAAATCTCTTTCTTGGACAGGGAATTATAAATGGAAATGTGCACTTGTCTATATTTCTTGGGTTCCCATTTCCTATCAATTACATCGGAACTAAACACCCAATGGCTTATTGTGAATTAAAAAAACATTTACATTTTCTACAATTCTTTCAAACCAAACATAAGAACCTTGATTATTAAATTTCTTCAGCTTGCGACTCATGGAATTCTTTTAATGCAGTATCCATGTTGAGGACTTGATCTTGCTTGGCTTTGAGAAGGGAGTTGGAGAGATGCATCCTTCAAAATTCAACGTTGTTCTAAATGATCAAACTTACAGTGGTGAGATACGTGTGGGACTCACCTTTACCCCCAAGGTATTTAGAATTCTCCAATATTTGTTGGCTGGTTGTTAAAGTGTGCTAATGATTGATCTCAAGTCAATTATACCTTGGCTCAAGGTCGCTCAAAATCATTCAGACTTCTTTGTGACAGCTTTCTTCCTGCTTATTAAAGCGTCTTTCTAGTAAAATATTTTAATTATTACTAAAAAGCCGCATAAAGAAGTAGGAAGAAAGCCATCCCAAATAAAGCCTCAATCTGATCTTAAGCCGATTCAGGTCTGGTTATAATTTGGCTCGATCCGATTTTAGTTCGAGTTAGGCATAACTCAGTGATATCTATTCAAACTTTGATTTAAGCCAAAACCTGATAGGATCTTGGTCGATTTTCAAACTCCTATGATAAAACCTTAGCCCACCAAACATATAAAAACCCAAACTTATATAGATTCATGCATATGAATGCATAGATGTATACATACATTATCAATTAATATACATTTTGATTCAATGTTGAGCTAACTCAATCCTATCTAAGTTCAATTCAATTCAAATTTAATCCGAGCCAGGTTTACCTCATTACTCAGCTCATTTAATTCGATTGTAGTCAAAATTGATTTGATTTTTGTGTTGATCATCGAGCCAAAATCATAACCCCACTGTTTTTCTAGCTGGGGAGATTTTCTTACATACTTTGAAGTATTCTTATCACCTGCAAAAATCTAATGCTGGAACTCAATACAGTTACAGTTGTTATATTTAGGCTTCATTTGGGACAGTTTTGAGCCACTATTTCTTTACGATTTTAAGAGATTTTTGTATTTAAAACAGATTTACAAAATAATAAAAAAGCCGTTTCAAACGAAGGCTTGCTGAAGATACTTATTTTTGAATTTCACAGCTAATATATTTCTTCCCATTGGCACTTATAATTTGCTCTTTGGTTCTTGTTGATTTCACAGGTAGAAGTAGAAGTGGAGGGGGAAGAACTCGGAGGGTGGAGAGACAGCTTCCATCATCATTGAGAACCTTATAGTTTCATATTTTATGTTGTTCTAAGGCTGCTTCATGTTTCACGTAGTAGTTACTGCGTTCAGTTATTTTAGGTTTCAAAGCTTATTAGGACATTTGCAAACTCGTGTATTACACAGCCTTATAATCGAGTTACTCGAATTTTTATTATTCTATAATTTTTTTTGGACTCAACCCTAAAAACTCGCCAGTATCTTATTGGGGTGCGATCTTATTAGGGTGCGATCATACCAGCACCAGTGCACCAAATCCCATCAGAACATCATAGTTAAACGTGCTTGGGCGAGAGTAGTACTAATGGCTGACCTCCTAGGAAATTCTCGTGTTACACACCTTTAAAAAAAAGGCAATATCTTATTGGAACACACATATCATTGAAAGGGCAAAATTGGGTTTAAATTGTTCGATCAAAATTTTGATTAGGATGAATTTTAAAATTATTAAATTTGTATTGAGGTGATTGATTTCTCATATGATTTATTTCAAATAAATTTAAATTTGATCAGAATATTTTAACTTAAAATTGAATTGGGTTCTTGTATATGAAAAAAAAAATTATGTGAGGATATTTCTACTAGAGTTTAGTTTTGATGAGTTTTAAAATTATATTAAAATAAATACAATATTAAAATTTATTGATTTTTTATATATATTGCATAAATCTCATAGCAAATTTAAAAGTATTAAATTTTTTTTTTGGGAAAACTAAAAGTATTAAATTTTGTTCCTTGATAATTTTGGGGTAGATGGTGTGGTTTCTAATGTTTGGAAGAAAAACTTTGGTGTAGAATAAGACCATTGGAGGCTTGATAGGCTAGTTTGATGTGAATTTAATTTAATTAACAAATACACCACCAACAAAATGCTATCAACAGGTCCTTTAATTGCCACATTCTAATTAAACATGTACTTAGTTTCATTACTAGTTGTGATTGATGTTGGAGGATCCTCATTCATCAAGACTATCAACTCCATGAGAATCCTCATTGAAGTCATCAATCAAGACCCTAAACCTCAGGCGCTGCAATTATAATAGTGAAAGATAAATTTATGCCCCTCAAATTGGCTCATGGTGTGTATTGACATTGCTTTTGACCACGGGCAAAAAAGTTAAGGAAAGTCAATTTTGATAAAAATGGCATGTATTAGCCTTCTCTGCAATGATATGTGTCAACATTGTGTTGATAATGTGTGTCAACCTTCTTGGTAAAGTTGAGAGATAAAGTTGATGGACATTTGCATTGTTTAAGATGTTGGGGAACAATGGTCAAGCAAAGTGGGTATGGTGATTATAGTTAAACAAATGTTGTTAGATGATGGCTATTGAGTATCAGTGATCCAGTGGCCAAGTGATGATAATCAGATGATGATTGTGGAGTGATAGTGGTTGGATGATTTTGGTTTAGCGATGATGGATGATGGCCAGATGATGTTAGTTAAGCGACTATAGTTAGGCAATGACGGTTAGGCAATGTTAATCGAGTGATTGTGGTCATGTAATGTTGGTTCATGGAGGTCATCATTGGTGCCAACCTTGGGTAGCACTCTCTCAAACTCCACCTCAAGGCCTAGCTATATGCCCCCTTTTATGTGAATAATTGGGCATGCTAATATATTTTTGGGCCAATGTTCTAATTATTTCATAGGAAATCTCCAAAATTGCATGAGATGACATATGTTGATTCCCTTTATCATAGACAAGTTTTTAAGCATTTAAGCATTGCAATGATAGTTGAATCAAGTGATCATTGGCTTGGTAGATTTTTCTCATTGAGACACTCATTTTAATTATATGCAAGCAATATCTTAAGATTGTTTGTTCCTTAAAAAAACTACTATGAAGTTTTTAATTATATTTTGACTGATTAATTTAGGTCCATTTGGATTTGAATATTAACACTTTTAATATATTTGGACAATAAATTGGTTGAAAATGGTGTTTAAGAGTCTGCTTGGGACAGTTGCAGCATTTTATAAAGTTGGTCGTGAAATTATTATAGGAAAAATAATTTAACTTCTCTGTTTGCAAAAAAAGTAGCTTTTCACCATAGATTTTATTTGAAAAATAGCGAAAAAGCAATAACCAAATAAAAGTATGATTGCTAAATGAAAAGCAAAGCAACGAGAAAATTGTCACAAACAAACCCTAAATGGTAATAAATTTGTCCCTCTATTTTTTATTCACATGCTTGCATCAAAATCCGTCCTTCAATATTTGTACTTGATTGATGAATTTTTTAATGACATATAAGATATGATTTAAAAAATCAACTTAAAGTCATTCGATCCAATTAATCTTGAGAGAAGCCAACTTTGATTTTATATTGGCTTGATCAGTTCTTAATTATAGTCACACATGACTCATTAAGTCTAATTCAAGCTAAAAAAATGATCCAATTTCTAATAACATTATATCTCTTACACATATTATTAATAAAAATATTTCTAAAACATATTTTTATTGTTTTATTTTTTTAAAAGATAAATCAATTTCTTTTTTTTAAATATTAAAATTAACTTTAAGATATTTTAAATATTTTAAAAATAACCATACTAACCTATTACCACCAGTCGTCACCACCACCGTCAAATTTTGTTGTTGTCATCACCATATTGTTCGCCATTAATGCATATATATAAAGATAATGAATATATTTAATTTTAAGTCTAAATACAAGTAAAATAAAATAATAAAAATGATCCCAAATGCCATGAACAGATTTGCTTTTGCATCTAAGCCATAGAGTACAAAATCGGCCTAAATTGAATATGTATTGATTAAAATTATTTTTTTCAAGGCTATTATGCTCAATTAACGAATACACCAATTGTTTGGTCTTCTTTGACATCAATATGGATGAATTTCTATCCCAATTTCTTACTGAGTACTTTTCATAAAAAAGCGACCTTTAAGTAATGTATGAATAAAATTTACTATTAAAAACTACAAATGGATCAATAGTTACATCTTTATTTTATCAATCATAATGTCAATGAAAAAATATATATATATTTTCTTAGGAGCGCAACGAAATGCTTGATGTAAATGCAAACATGCCTATATAAAGGGAAGAAAATAGGGCAATAAGGAAAATATAATTTTTGTGCCAAAATATTTGTAGCAATAGAGTTAGAAAGTTAATTAATTGTCTTAATATTGTACGAAGATGTAATATATGCATAGATAAAAGATGAGTTGTAAGAGGCGACATAATTTTGAAGTGGAAAAACCATGGTGCCTTGCCCAATTGAAAGGATTCCACTAATGTTTATCTTTGATTACAAATGATGTCCCTATAAGTAGAGAATGTGTTTATAAAATATTATGGACATATTATATTTGTATCGTATTTCATGGTGAAAATTGAAAGGGTCTATTGCATAGAAGCTATCTTTAGGAGATCATTTACTTCTTATTTTGATCTCTCTCCATCAAAGAGGAAGATCCGAGAGACCAAAAAGTCCAACATAAATCTTGATGTTGACATCGTTAGCAGAGTTTGTGTCGACAAAGTGCATTAATCTTGTGAGCAATGATGTGCATTAATGTCGGCGTACCTAGGCGAAAATGGTGAGAGAATCAATAGATTGAGGTTAAGCCAACCCTTAAAGAAGATTGAAGATAACAAAATCATCCCATGAGATAGACATATATTAGAGCAAGAAATTGTATGCCAATCAAAATAGAGTTGAGGCTTTATATTAAGAGCTAGTGTTCTCTAGATGAAGATGAAAACTTAAAATCAATGAGTCATACAAAAAGCAAATAAGTTAGAGTTTTAGAAACATATCCAACCCTTCGAAGATGAATGGACGTAAAGAAACTAGAATCTCTAAAGAAGTTGGATGAGTCAATGTAGATGTGCGATATAAATGTCCAAAAGGTCAAAATATATTAGATTAAGTTGATGTAAATATCAAGCAAGTTGAGATCAAGAAGTAAGAGTCGAGACTGAGGGACATAAGATCAAGAAATGACATTGATGGTCTAGCTAGAGTGAGGCAAGTGGAAAACTGAGGAGATCAATGAAAAAGTTAGGAGGCAAATTACAATGCCATATGTGAAAGCAGTAGAAGAGCTAACCAAGGTTCAAAATTGGCATAACCCAAGAGAGGAGAGATCATTAGGTGTGGAGTGCGGACGGGGAGAACCGTCCGCACAAGCATTGTTCGGCGCTAGGTACCGGCACTCGGTACCATTGGGAACCCATGCTTGTGCGGATGGTGCACACTCCGCACCTAACAATTTTTCCCAAGAGAGAGAAGGTCAACAACCCGGCTCGAATATTATATTATAAATCATAAATGTCTATATATCTTCATTTATTTATACTTCCAAAACTCCAAAAGAGTCGAATGTACTCCATACAATGATAAAAAAGTCCCAAACTTTGGTTATTGAACAATTTTTTTTACATCAAAGTAATCCTTATTTAGTAAAGTACTACTCAAATTATGCGATGTTGAGACCCATAAATCTTCTCAGCCTTTCGCATATTGCTCAGTCCAGGATCGGGCAGTTTCTTCATATTCATCCTTATCAGTCTCATACATCTTAGCAATCTCCTCTACCACTTGGTATTCCTGGTCTGGTTCGGTCAAAAGCGAGAAAATTGATTGAAAAACATTTGACATAGTATAAACAGGAGTCCATTCATCCCAAATAATTCTAAGGAAGACTCTGCCATCTTCATTAATGTTTGGATGGAAAATTTTGGTGCGGAAATGGAGCTTTGGAGGTTTGAAGGGGTAGTCAATTGGAAAGAAAATAGAAACATGGAAAGCTCCGCCTGCAAAAGGGCTGTCATCAGGTCCCTTTATAGTTGCACTCCAATGATATTTGTCCTCATCATCAACAGCGCAAGCAATGAGACCTGCTGGAGGATCCTTCTTCAAGGCCTTTAACTCTCGTTCAATCCTCTTCGAACCCATTAAAAAACACTCGAAACCTCAAACCAACTTCAGCTTTATATATTTTCTTGATTGATCATAAAATGCTGGAAAGATCATGTATATATATAGAGAGAGAAAGAGAGAAGATAAGATTATAATAAGAATAAAATACAATGGAGAATATGCTCAATAATAAAGATATATTAATAAATATATTGGATTCCTGATATGTATTAAGCATGCATATATGATGATATTAATATGGTAAAGTAATAAGTCTAATAACTCTAATATTTACTTATTTTGTGATTTTTAACAAATTTCTAAAATCATATATTTTTAAACTTTTTCTTAAGTTATGTACAAATTTAATACCTTTGCCATGCAATAAAATTCCCTTAGATATTTTTTTTGGATATGTAAATATAATGAGAAAATTTATGAAGTTGTCATTTTATACGATTCGATTTCATTCGGCATTTTTATATATCATTTTTAGCATTTCTTGAAATAAAAAATAGAAAACAAAATTATTTATACATCATGTTTATCATTTTTTTTACTCTATTTACTTACCGAAAAAAATAAAATAAAAATCATAAAAATAAACATCATTTTGACATATTTATTTATCCCCCTTGAATAAAAGTTGAGAGTCAGTAATTATTATTTTTTTCATTTTCTTTAATACTTTATTTGATGCTTTGTGAAATAACTAGCACATGTGTACACAAGGGATGGCTATATAAATATTCCTGAGAATTGTAAAATAAGAACGTAAATTGATCTATGAAAGATCATACTGTACAATTTGATCGTTTAGTATGATATACATTAATTTAAAAATCTAATAAGATCAATTTGTAATAATAGAACAAATCTTAAATTAATTAATTATGATAAACTTATTATTTTGTATGATGCAAATTATACTGTATGATACAAATCATCTTCTATGATTATGCGTAATTTTATAGTGAACCGTCAAAACAAGATTTTCTTAATTTGATAATTCAAAATTTAAATTAATCGTAGTATATGATATATATTATACTGTATGATCACTTTCTTAAATTAAGCTAATTAAGCTAAATATAAAAATTAAGAAGACCATTAATGCATATTTATTAAGAATAATCATAAAGTATGATCGATGTGAATCATATAGTAGATTATTAAACAAAGTAGGATTTTTATAATTTTTTATTGTTTAAATTAATTGTATTATGTAATATATGAATCGTATTGTACGATCAATTCAAATTTATAAGCTAGTCTATTTAAAGGTTTGTTCATTGGGCACTTAATATATATACCTTTCTAGAAATCTTGGAAGGGGAGGGGTGATAGAAAAATAATAAAGGGAGGTGTATTTTGAGGGAGATTTAGCTTGTGCTTTTCAAATAAAAATTTTAAGTGTGAAAATTCTTTATAAGCTTGTACACCAATTAGTTGTTTTTCACATTTCTTCTATCTTATTCCTCTAAGGTTTGCTGGTAAGCGTGGAGAGCCTTTGCTTGATTGAATTTATAATTGATTAGTAAGATCTCAAAGTATATTTATTGTAAGAAAGTGTAATTAGCCGGTGGGCTAGAGTAACTATCTTCTCTCCTGTAGTAAAAAAAGTGGGTGTATGGTTTCTCCATCACCTGTCAAGGGGATGGGCTTTTCCACCCGAAGGTGGCCAATGGAAAGAGTAATGAATCCTTCAATTAGAGGGTTAAGGCATGGACAAAGGTGCTAGTGTCAAAACATATAAAAATTAGTTTACAACTCATTTTCTTTCTATTAATCTTTATTTAATAATCTTTTTTTTTCTCTAGTTTATTTCATGCACTATGAATGATATTTTTAATGATCATGATATTATCTCTTGCTAATAGATCTATATATTTAATATTTTTCTATTGTGTTGCAACTGATCTGTTCAACATCACTAGACATCATATGGATTTTATTTCTCTCTCTCTCTCTCTCTCTCTCTCTCTCTCTCTCTCTCTCTCTCTCTCTCTCTAATACTTATAGCTATAAAACATGGTAAGAATTTTGTCCATATCTTTGTATATCTTAAAATTCTCATTAGAATGTTTATAATTAAAGTGGATGAGTTTGAATAGAAATGAAAAATCCTTCTAGGAGCGCTACGAGGCTAGCATTGGGAGCGATGTGGCATTTCCCTCTCTGTTTAAGAGATTGAGTTGTGGAAGTGAAACGATGCTACACATGGCTGTTTTGCTCTCTCTATTTAGAGTAGTGTTTGAAAGAGTGTTGTGAAACTGAAGGGGAGCACCACAACACTGAGCTCTCTATCTAAGATTGAGTTATGGAAGTGCAGTGATGCTACACATGGCAATTTGCCCTCTCTATTTAGAGTAGTGTTTGAAAGAGTGTTGCAAAATGGAAGGGAATCACCATGACACTGAGTTCTCTATCTGGGAGTATCTATAAAATTATGTCTAGTGCAGCACAACTATGGGTTGGAGCACCGTAGTGTTGGCCACTAAAATGAGTTTTTATAGATGTAAACATCGAAAGCTGGTAAGAATTTTGTCCCCATCTCTGTATGTCTTAAATTTGTCATTAGAATGTTTATAATTAAAGTGGAAGAGTCTGACTAGAAATGAAAAACTTCTTCTAGGAGCACTTCGATACTGGCATTGGGAGAGATGTGGAATTTCCCTCTTTATTTAGCAGGTTGAATTGTGGAAGTGCGGCGATGCTACACATGGAAATTTTGCCCTCTCTATTTATAGTAGTGTTTGAAAGAGCGTTGCGAAACTGAAGGGGAGCACCACGACACTAAGCTCTCTATATGATATTGAGTTATGAAAGTGCAGTGATGCTACACATGGCAGTTTTCCTCTTTATTTAGAGTAGTGTTTGTAAAATTGAAAATAAGTACGTACCTCAACACTAAGCTCTCTATCTAAGAGTATCTAGAAAATTTTGTCTAGTGCAACAACACTATGGGTTAGAGCACCACAATGAAGAAGAGGAGAAGAAGAGGAGAGGAAGAGGAGGAGAGGGGAAGAAGAGGAAGAGATTTTGAGATTGCAAAGTTGAATTCATATGTCGAACCTATTAAGAGAATTGTTCTGATTGTTGCAGGCTCCTAATACCCTATTTTTATTTCAATTCTGATAATATTATAAAAGATTATAAAGTAAATTATATTTTAATGAGTATATTAAACTTTCCATGATGTCATTTCTCATATATTATAGAATATCTCAGTATGAACATTTTAACTATAAGAAATTAATATTTCAATGGTAAGTTTTGTATATAGAAATTTTTTACTATTTCTAACTAAAAAATGCCATTTATAGCATTGGCTATAATTCATTAAAAGTTTTAAAATAATGTTTCAAATGTCCCTTATAAATGGTTTTTTGAATGGAAATGTTAAATACAAAGGCAAATTATACATGCAACATCTTCTGAAGTATCGTGCATGTGTCGGTACATATATTCTCATGTTCATGTATACCTATTAATTCTGTTAATATTTGCATGTGCATTCATGTTTATATTAAAGTGCATTATAAGTTTTGTTGTAAGGTCCTATACTAATGATTTTGGCTCCATTTATCATGTGCAAATGTGGGAGGTCATCTCTCTTGCCCCATCTACTTTATGAAGTTGTGAGAGGTTCAGGGGAGTTTTAAGCAAAAGTGAAGTTATAAAAGAAATCGAGTTAACTCTCCTTCACCTAGTGAGGGTTGATCTTACGAGGTATATTATTAATGGGGGAAGTACGGTAACCTAAAGAATTGTGAAAATAACTTAGGGCTCTATTAATCCCTAAATAATGCTTAGGTTTTCTTTGATATAAATATTATAAAAACTCCACTTAATATACATAACTATACGTGTCGAATTAATCAAGTAATATAAATAGAGTAGAGTATCGATCCTACGAGGAAGAATATTTACTTGCAAATACTAGTACTGTTTACTTCACCTATAATAATTATCATACTCAATAAAAATAAATTTTTATGGAGATTCAATCACTTACAACAATAACAACAACAACAACATCAAGCCTTTGTCAGCTACATGAATCCTTTTTCGCTATTGTGTCCTATTAAAAGTCAAATTCTCATTTAAATCTAATAAAGAAAGATCATTCCTAATATTTTATAACCAAGTCTTTTTATGTCTACCTCTAATTTTATGTCATGATTATTTGACAAGTTTTACACTGGTTGTCGACTTAATTAAAATAAAAAATAAAAATAATTAAATGAATAACTATTGGGATAAATTATTTTGGATTGATAGAATATAAATACAATATGTTTCCTAATGATTCTCTTATATATTGATGCTATTTAGAGCATATGCATCATCAACCTCTCAGTTAAGTGTAAAGAGATAAATGATAAATTAAACTCTTCTAACCTGATCAATAGTACCACTCTAAACTCCCATAGTCTGTCACCCTATGAAAATATTAAAAGAGTAAGTAAAGAGTGTAAAAACCCCTTATGATAATTCATCTCTATATATTTGATACATGATAAGCACTATGCCTATACTTGCATCATACCAAGCCAACATACCTAGTTAATTGTGCGTGCTTTCCTATTCCTAGGCTTCACATTACACGTGATATTAACTACATATATGACCATTATGTGCATTAAATGTAGACTTTATATATTAAAAATATCATAAAATTATTGATGAAGAGAACTAATTAGTACTCCATATTTCATTTACACAATCAATCTAAAACTAGATAATTTAGCCAGACATTAAGAACAAGTGAAACATATTCATTTTTATTAATTTAAATAAAAAAAGAAATTATATAAGAAAATATATTACCGGATGATTCATTGATCTCCTCTACACTCCTCCTGGAATTTGCAGAATTGCTTTCATAAATACAAGTCAAATACTCTAATGAAATGCATATAGTACTTCTCTGAATTCTCTTTGTTGTCACTCCTAAGGAAAAATCAAAGAAGCACTATAAATACTGAAATTAAATAAGTGATTGAACTCCTATACTAATATTACAGATAGAT